TCGGGCTACTAGGACACAGGTAGGTTTCCTGTCCCACAATCTCATGTCTTCTCCATGGTCAGATGGGAAATACCACAAGTCAGTTCATGAGATCTGTCTGGTCTCTCTAGTTGGAGGGCATCTGGTTCTCACTGGTGCCATATGGAAGCTGTTTCCCTCAATCCTCTCTCAGTCTCTCCTGCTTATCTTTCACCTCTGTAGTTAGTCTGGGCTGGGGACAGAACAGGGTGCCTAAGAACAGAGGCAAACCAGGGCCAGAAGCAACCAGGTGACCTGGCCAAAACCAAAATGAAACCACGGAATCCCTCCACACACATCCCTTCCCTGAGTCAGGGCAAAAGTGGAGTGCCTCCCATTTCCCGAGGAGAGGAAAAAACCCCAACTCATCCCCCCCCCCCAGTCTTCTGAGGGCCATCAACCTGGAATGTGACCAGTTCTTTTGTGTGTGTGAATCACACCAGCCAGAACTCCCCTCTTTTACAATGATACAGGGGAAAGAAAAAAAATCCCCATTGTTTTTTTAGAACAAGTAAACCTATGACACTTAGATAAAACCAGGACAGGGGGGTTGACCTTTCTGATTGTGGTAACACCTCTAGTGTAACCAGACCTTCATCCTCTTCATCCTTTGGCTTCTCTTCCACATACAAAGCCTCACACCTATTGTGCAGTGGCACCTGGAGGGGTGAGGTAGGTGAAGAAGGATTTTGCTTTTCATCCCAAGCATGGACTACCCTCCATTCACTCCTTTCTTTACAACTGCTACCTGCTCCCTGCTGGGGGAGGGATACAGGAACCCCTTGATCTTGAATTATTTCTGGAGGTTGCTCCTGTCTCAGGGAGGCCAGAGCATGGTTCCACCAGTCTATCTCCCTCTCCAATTCTCTAATACTTCTTAACCTTTCTATCACATCCTATACCTCTACCACCAGGCTGAGTAGGTTGAAACGAGAGCAAGGTCTAAAAGAGTTAACTGAGATATCTTGCTCTGTTGAGTATAGCCCCCTGATACCTGCTCTGCCTGTACTGCTAGGAAAAACTTGTTCTGTTCTGCTTACTGGACCTAAACCTAAGAAGAATACTAGAAATGCTATGCAATCAACCTAGAGGCCATAAATTAAGACAAGGTAGACATTTGAATAGGAGAAAAGGGCTTAGAGCCAAGGGTTTTTGAAAGCTTCAGTAACTGGAACACAAACAATGGGGAGGTAGAGAGGTCAAAGTGAGGAAGAAGAGAAATAGACCCCCGTTTTGAGGAGGAAGGCCAAAATGATCACTACCAAAAGAGAATATGGAAAGCACTGCCCTAAACTCCACCCAGACTCTGCCCAGACTCTGCCAAATAACAATATGCATGATTAGATGTTGTAATCATATGAATATGTATGTTAAGATGTTGTAATCATGGAGTTAGACTGTATAAATTACCCTGTTTTTCATCAATGCCTTTGAGCGAGTTTTTCCAGTGCGAGGTGACTTGCTCCCAGTGTTGAATAAATAAATACCATTGCTGCTTAAAGAAAAAAAGTCTCTGAACAGTTCATATTCCAAGGTTTTTCAGCATCAATGTTGTCCACCTGGTCACATCTGACACAGCCACTATCTCTGCTACAGTCCAGTGAAAGACTTTGGCACTGCCTACATCCTGAAACCTGGACGACTGCATGTTTTTTTGGGAGCTCTGTCTGGAACTCTCTCTGGGTCTCTACATCTTTTTTCGTGAGCATAGATGACTTGACTTCCTGCTGAGTGGACACCATATCCAAGCTCTCTTGATGAGTGCTATGACCACCAACTGAGCTAACCACTTGAACTGCAGTGCCTCAGAGCCCTTTCTGCTCAAACTGCTGAGCAAACTGATGTGCCATACTCTGCTGTCGTGCCATGGTCCTTACAGGTCCCTTATGAAAGAGTTGGAAGAGCTGCCGTCCCCCCTGAGTCAGCTGCTCTAGGGCATGCTTGTGGTGGTTCTCCCCCAGCTGGCCTGGGGGATTCGGGAAGAGTTAAAGTTAGTAGGAGCCTTTGTTCAGGGGAGAATTGCACCCGGACCTGGAAATTGTAACAATATGGTTTTCCGGTAAAAAGTGCTGAGCACAGCAAAATGTGTTTTGTGACACGCGCAGTAAGCAGAGTTATATAACACCGTTAGTGGCCAATGGAAGAATATTTATGTATGTGGGAACCAGTGGAGAGTTGACATGTGTAGCCTAAAAAGTGTATAAAAGTAGCAGACATCGTGCAATAAAGTGTTCCAGCCTCTGGATCCACAAGGGTTTCGTGTCGTGTCCCGCCTCAACCCACAACATCTGGCGACCTCGACGCAATCAACGGAGGAGCGAAGAGAGAAGCAGCGAAAAGATCTGGACTTTGCCATCGAGCGAGCCCTGACCGGCAATCTGCAGAAGATGAAACAGAGACGCAGCACGGCAGACCCGGGTCTTGGGGTCAGCGCTGTTTGCTGCGGCAGCCTCTGCCGCTGCTCTTCTGCTGAACTGAAAGAGGAGAGGTCTCCGCCTTACCTCTGCCTCCGGTTTTGTTACGGAGCAGCCAGGCTTTTTGCAATCATCTGCCGCAGTAGCTTAGCTTGCTAGTTCGGAGCTGAGGAGATTGAAATTGGAGTCTGCGCTTACCGTTTGCTTTTTGAAAACTCCGCCTCTGCTTTTACTGCGGCGTCGGCCCCCCCTGCTGGCCTGCTGCTAGGTAACGATTGCTGAGTAACAGAGTTGTGGTTGGGGTTTTTTAACCCCTGCAGCTGCGAACTTTAGTTGTTATATTACCGTACTACTGTTTTGCTATTCTGCCTTTGTTGCTGCTTAATTTTCTCTTCGCTAAACTGCCTTACAGTGTAAAGTAATTTCTGTAAGTCAGTCCTCTAACTTGGTCAAGTAAATAGTTACACGTCCCGAACGAGGACGGAGAAAGACAGCTTTGAGATAGCTGTTGGAGGCGGGAAAACTCCGTGTAGCTAGTAAGAACGACAAGGGAGTTGTCTATAGAGCCGACCAAAAATAGTTTTTGAGACACCTGTTTAAAAACAGGTGAACCACCAGAGCAAAAATGGGTTCCATGTTGTCCAAAGAGGATGAAACTATCATTCAAATGTGGCAAATGTTGTTGGAAGAACATGGGAGTTAAGATGAGTGCCTTGTTCCTACAAAAAATGTTGAAGTGGAGCAAAGACCAGGGTTTTCAGGCAACGTCTGAGGTTGCCTTTAGTGAATCTGTGTGGGATGATTTAGGCCGTCGGTTATTTGAAGCATCCACACACGGAGATGAGAGAGCAGTACAATTACTAACTACATGGCGGGTGTTAAGGGAAACACTGCAAGACCATAAAAAATCAGGAGGTTCTGGGACAGTGTTGGTTGCTGTCCCTAGAGAAGCTTCTACAGGAGCTTCCACAGAAACTCCTAGGGAGACCTCTGGGAATGCTCAGGGGGAAAGTTCTGGGAACTCTGTAACTCCTGATATCACAAATCCTCCCCCTGTAAATCCTGCTACTGCCAGTTCTCCTGCTGTGACTCCCTCGACCCCTCCACTCGAACCTTGTGAGAGCCAAACTCCCTTAGTTTCACCTCCTCCCCCCTCTAAGGGCAGGGGGGCGAAACTTTCAAAAGTAAAAGGGTTTCGTTCAGCAAAACGGAGGCTGTTATGGGACGATTCAGATGAGATATACAGACCTAGGTCCCCTGTGGTCAAGAGTAGGTCCTATAAATCTCCGCAGGAATTGGCAAAAACTTCTCCTGCAAAAATCAGCAAGACCAAAGGCAAGAAGGCTCATAAACACCTCCTAGAACCTTCTGATCCTCCTATGTATCCTCCTCTGCCATCGGAATCTGTTAGCCATTCTGATGAAAGTGAGGAGGAGACATCTGAGGAGGACGCTCTGGTGCCTGTACAATCACAAAAGGCACAAAACAGTATCGTCCGTCATAAACCTTCTCGAAAATGGAAGCTGCCCCCTGCACAAGTTACCGTCTGGCCCCGTGATCCTTTAACATTCTGGCAAAAGGTCAAAGCTTGGGCGATGCAAGAGGGAAATTGGGAGTTAGCAGATCAGATTGATGCCCCGTGGGAGGGTGCTTCTCATCAGGTAGCCTGCTTACCAAGTGGGGAGGCTGGGGTTTTCCCGGTGGTGAGGGGGGATCCAGGTAGTGGACAGCCTGATGAGCACCGCCCGTTTTCATGGAAAGTGATTCAGGAGTTACAAAGAACAGCAGTGCAGTATGGGTCCAACTCGGCCCCTACTGTGCGTATGCTTAGGCTATTGGCTATGGAGGAAATGACCCCATATGATATACAGATGCTTGCCCAGATTCTATTTCCCCCGGTGCAATTCTCAGTATTCCAGTCAGTCTGGTTTAAAAGGGCTGCAGCACAGGGATTAAGAAATTTGCAATGGCCTCAAGATGACCCCCGATATGGAAATGGTGGTGATGTCCTTACTGGCACAGGACAGTTTTCTAACCCTCAACATCAGGCACAATGGCCTCCTTTAGTATTAGAGCAAGTTAAAGCTGTAGGCATGGAGGCAATTTTTCGTACTGCTGAGCTGTCAGCTCCTAAGCCCAGATATGCCTCTATTAGGTAAGGTGCTAATGAGCCATATTTGCCTTTTGTTGAGAGACTACTGGCTTCTGTGGAGAAGCAGATTTATGATGTTAATCTGCGTGATGCCACGGTGAAACAGTTAGCAAGAGACAATGCCAATGCAGACTGTCGGAAGATCCTTCATACTTTACCAGATGATGCCTCACTTGATGATATGATTCAAGCATGTTCAAAAGTAGACTCAGTGGACTACCAGATGGCTGCATTGGCTAAGGCTATGGCTGCGGTTAATACCACGGGCCATCGCTGTGTCTCTTGCGGTAAAAAGGGTTCCCGGAAATCAAAAAAGAATTCACCCACACAATCAGCAATAACAACTTGCCTTAGATGTGGGAAAGCAGGGCATTTTGCTAAGAACTGTTAGTCAACTCATTACTCTGATGGACATGTGCTGTCGGGAAACGGGAAGACGAGCACGAGGCAGCGCGCTCTGACACAAGTACCTGCTCCGATCGATCAGCTAACCCAGCACTTCCAGAGACCACAGGCCTATGCGACCGATTGTCAGGAGAGACGAGGGGAGCAGCCGGGATGGATGTATCCACAGCCTCAACAGTAACCATTTCCACCATGGGGGTTCATAAAGTCCCTCTGGACGCTTGGGGACCTATTGGGAGGGGCTTAAGTGCCTTGCTAATTGGTAGGTCGAGTGCTACCATCCAGGGGATCATGGTGCATGTCGGAGTAATCGATGCCGATTACACCGGACAGATATGTGCCATGGTATCGACACCCACCCCCCCTCTTTGTATTGAAAAGGGAACGTGCATTGCTCAACTTATACCCTTTATGAGCTGTGTTCCTAGGACAAAAGATGTCACCCGAGGCACAGGAGGATTTGGATCCACTGGAGTTCCTCAAGTCCATTGGACAACGACTGTGAAGGACTGTCGGCCTCAAATGACCTGCGTGCTGAGTATGGCACACGCGTCTCCCGCTACAGCAAAGGTATCTGGCTTGCTGGACACTGGTGCAGACATTACCATCATTTTGCTAAAGGACTGGCCTGCTTCTTGGCCCTTGGTTCCGGCCTCTCAGGCTGTTATAGGTCTGGGAGGTACTTCCACTGGGTCTCTTGTGGCTAAACCAGTGCTCATCACCAACCCAGAGGGCCAGGCTGCCACCCTTCGGCCCTATGTGGTTGCAGCACCTTTGAACTTGTGGGGACGGGACTGCCTTTCTCAGTGGGGAGTCCATCTCACTACGGATTTTCCCTAGGGGTCACTGTGATGCAAGGTGTGAGACAACACACAGTAGCTTTAAAATGGTTATCAGATAAGCCTGTGTGGGTTGAACAGTGGCCCCTTAACAAAGAGAAACTTATTGCCCTGCACACTCTAGTTAAAGAACAGTTGGAAGCAGGTCATATAGAGCCATCACACAGTCCATGGAACACTCCTGTGTTTGTTATAAAGAAGAAATCAGGGAAATGGAGGTTTCTGTAGGATTTGCGTTGAGTCAATGAGGTGATGGCTACCATGGGAGCATTGCAGCCAGGGTTACCCTTGGCAACAATGATTCCCATGAATTGGTCTGTTGTTATCATTGACTTGAAAGACTGCTTCTTTACCATTCCTCTACATGCAACGATAAGGAAAAGTTTGCATTTACTGTTCCTTCGATAAACCATGCTGAGCCTTCCAAATGGTATCACTGGAAGTTTTTGCCACAGGGCATGAAAAATTCACCCACTATTTGTCAATGGTTTGTTGCCCAGGCCTTGAGCCCTGTTAGAGAAAACTATCCGGAAGGGTATTGTTACCATTATATGGATGATATCCTCCTAGCGGCTCCTTCCAGTGAGATGCTGTCGGCCATGGAGTCCAACACCCATGCTTCTCTGAAGCAGTATGGTTTGATTGTGGCTCCTGAGAAAGTACAGCGTGTTCAGTCACGGCTTTACCTTGGCATGAAGGTACTCGAACGTACCGTTCAGCCACAGGCCCTCAAATTGGAAACAAATATTAGGACTCTAAATGATGTCCAAAACTTGGCAGGGACTATAAATTGGTTGCGTCCCTATCTTGGCCTGACTCCATCCCAAATTCAGCCTTTACTTGATCTTCTTAAAGGTGATTCTGACCTTCGAGCTCCTCGGAAACTGACCCCCCAAGCAAAGCAAGTTATTGCTTTAGTGGAACAGTGCATGCAAACTAAACACTTATGGAGAATTGCCACTGATGTTGCAATTCACATGTATATTCTTATTGAAAGCATGGTTCCTTTTGCCATGATTGCGCAATGGAACCCTGCCTGGCAAGATCCCCTGCATGTGCTAGAATGGTTTTTCCTGTCGGTGCGCTCCAAGAAAACAGCTCCCGGTTTGTTTGAGCTTCTGGCACAGCTAATTGTCAGAGCACGTACCCGTTGCACGGAACTTGTTGCACGTGACCCTGAGGTCATCGTAGTTCCTGTGCAACTAGACTATTTTGAATGGTGCATGGCCAACAGTTCCGCCTTACAAGTGGCACTGACCAATTATACTGGTACTATTAAGTAACATTTACCCTCCCACCCCCTGCGCAAATTGCACGAACAAGTCTCATTAAGTCAGAAGCTGCTTTCTTGCATAACGCCTGTGCCTGGACCCACTGTATTTACTGATGGGTCCGGAAAGACAAACAAGGCTACTGGGACTTGGCACGATGGTCACAGTTGGCAACACATGGTCGAACTCCAGGAAGGTTCACCCCAGGTCGTCGAATTACACGCAGTTACTATTGCGTTTCAGCATTTTTCCTGCCCCCTCAATATAGTCACTGATTCTGCATACGTGGCTGGCTTAGTTCGACGCCTGGATAAAGCGGTCCTTCGAGAGGTTTCAAATGCCCTTTTGTTTGGGGTCCTTCGTCTGTTGTGGGAAACGATTCAAAAACGTACTAATTCTTATTATATTTTACATGTGTGCAGTCATACCACTTTGCCAGGTTTCATCGCCACGGGGAATGCTCGCGCAGATCGCCTTGTTTCACCAGTTGCTTTGGGTCTAGTGCCCAATCTTCGTCAACAGGCCATCACTTCGCATCAATTTCTTCACCAAAGCCGGCATGCCTTGGAACGGCAGTTTCATTTGACGTCTGCTGAAACCCGTTCCATTATTACTGCATGCCCTGACTGTCAAAGTCAATCAGTACCTGCCTTTTATGGCACTAACCCGAGAGGGCTACAAGCTTTACAGATCTGGCAAACTGATGTGACCCACATTGCGGAATTTGGTCGTTTGAAATGCGTACATGTGTCTGTGGATACCTTCTCCTCTGTTATAGTCGCTACTGCCCATGCAGGTGAAACTGCCCGGGATGTCATTCGCCATTGGCTGAGGGCCTTTTCTACGTGTGGAGTGCCACACCAAATTAAGACTGATAATGGCCCTGCTTATCTCTCTTCCCGGGTGCAATCTTTTCTCCGAATGTGGGGAATTTCTCACGTCACTGGTATTCCTCACTCTCCCCAGGGTCAAGGTATTGTGGAACGAGCACATGGTATCCTTAAGCGTCAATTAGAAAAACAGAAGGCGGGAATGTCTGGGGAAACCCCCGAAGCTCGCCTCGCTAAGGCTACCTATGTGCTCAATTTTGTTAACATCACGGAGGGCCAGCAGGATCCACCCATGGTCTGGCATTTTGGTTCCTTACAAAAGTCCACACCTGTCTCTCCTGGGGTGAAAGTCAGGGTAAAAGATTTGCACACAGGGCAGTGGTCTCAACCGTGCAAACTATTAACTTGGGGTAGAGGGTATGCTTGTGTTTCCACAGATGAAGGACCGCACTGGGTACCTGCTCGATGTGTCCGCCCTGTATTGGATGCACCATGTCCACAAGTTACGTGAAGTCCATCTATGACCACACTCGACAACTGAATGCTACTACCATGGACTAATAACGAATGCACTGTCTGGGCTGTAACTCTTGCCTGTTCGTTTAGTTGTTTTTGTATTATCGATATTGCCATGGTTTGTGTCTCCCTTGCAAGGGGTCCCGCAATGGATGACACTCGTTGGCGGTTTCTTTAATACAAAAACAGGGGGAATTGTGGTGGTTTTCCCCCAACTGGCCTGGGGGATTCGGGAAGAGTTAAAGTTAGTAGGAACCTTTGTTCAGGGGAGAATTACGCCCGGACCCGGAAATTGTAACAATATGGTTTTCCAGTAAAAAGTGCTGAGCACAGCAAAATGTGTTTCGTGACATGCGCAGTAAGCAGAGTTATATAACACCGTTAGTGGCCAATGGAAGAATATTTATGTATGTGGGAGCCAGTGGAGAGTTGACATGTGTAGCCTAAAAAGTGTATAAAAGTAGCAGACATCGTGCAATAAAGTGTTCCAACCTCTGGATCCACAAGGGTTTCGTGTCGTGTCCTGCCTCGACCCGTGACACATGCTGTTGACTCCAGATGAGTCTCAGCACTCTCCTGCCATTCCCCTGGCTCTAGAAACTTTTCACCATGATCTCCTGCTTGGTTGCAGGACAAACCTTCACCGGAGCTGTTCACCTCGTCGGGAGATGGTTAATGGACATCAAATATATATCAAAGGATATACAGAAATAGCAAATGTTCTTAGAGAGTTTGTTTGATGCCATACTGCAGAACCCTTCCACGCAAACACAGCCCTTAAAGGATGACATCATTCAAGGCATTAGTTTTAACCAGTGCTCCAAAGTCTTTACAAATCTTCAACTCCTTTTCCTCGCAATATTCAAGCAGTAATTATACTCCTCTCATTAAAGAATTCTACCTACACATCTCCAAAAGGAAAAAAGGTAAGGATTAATCAGAGACTTTAACAAAAAACAGCTTTAGCTGTAGAATTGTTGATGGTATCTAAAGAAATAAAGAATTATTAGTTACTTTAAAGAAATATAGGATAAGGAACTAAGACAAGGCAAAAAAACCTTCCAGTGTACAGTATCTTTGAAATTTGTTCATCAGAAAAAAACCTGAGTTATCTTAACACTAGTTAAATTTATAAATTCACATTCCTAGTAGTAGAGCTTTCCCATTTCCTGATGACATAATTGTTATAAAATGTGCACTAGATGACAAACATTTTAATATACTGTATAAACAAACATACAATATAAGAATATAAAAAATTGAACCATCCACACTATTACATGCCAATTCAACAAAGAGAAGTCCTTGGGCTGTTCCTTGAGGCAGGGTTGTATAGCCCTCCTCTTCCGACCATTCAGAAAAAAACCCTGACTAATCCCCAGTCCATCTTTCTGATTCATGGAAACAGTGAGAAATGGTGTAACCATCCCAAGAAGTTCTTCTACCATTCTGTCCTGACGTCAATATGTTCTCTATAGTCTTCTACCTTCCAAATGCACATTCACATCCCAAACAGGCAATGTCACCAGAAAACTTATTTCTCTTATTTCACAGAGGAGTCTGAAGTATTAACTCATAAAACAACAGTCAGTGAAATTAATTTTCCAATCCCAAAATTGCATGGATTAATAACAGCATCAATGTAGATAGCCAGCGCAGAGGAAAAAAAAAAAAACCAACCTTTTTATTTTAATTTTCCCTTTTCTTTTCTTTTTTTGCCATAATGGAGGACATCTTTATAAATATTATAGTATCATGAAATTTCTGATCTCTTTTGCATAGTCTTTATGAGCTTTCTACAGTAACAAACCAGGCCTTTCAGTGCAAAACTTTGTTGAGGAATTTTAAGGTCTGGCAACATGGGGCAAAGAGAAACACAAAAGCTCCTCCATGACCCCAACAGAAGAATGAGGTTATTTACAATGTGTAATGGGTCTGACTGGGATGGAGTCAACTTTTTTCATAGCAGTCTGTATGGTGCTGTGCTTTGTATCTGTACCTAGAACAGTGTTGATAACAAAGCAATGTTCTGGCTATTGCTGAACAGTGCTTGTATAGCATCAAGGCTTTCTCTCTTTCTACTCCCCCACCCCACCTAAACCAGTAGGATGGGGGTGGGCAAGAATTTGGGAGGGGGCATAGCTGAGATAGTTGACCTGAACCAACCAAAGGAATGTTCCATACTCATATGGAATATGGGGATATCCCATACCCATTCCATGTGACATCATACTCAGCAGTAAAAGCTCAGGGAAAGGAGGAGGAAGAGAGGACATTAATGGTTATAGTGCTTGTCTTCCCAAGTAACCATTATGCATGCTGAGGCCTTGCTTTCCAGGAAGTGGTTAAACATCTGCTTGTCAATGGGAAGTAGACAAGTAATTTTTTACTTTGTTTGTGAGTCCAGCTTTTGATTTACCTATTAAACTGTCTTTATCTCAATTCACAAGTCTTTTAACCTTCCTTCTCTTTTCTCCCCATCCCCAAGGAAAGATATAAATGATACCAAACAGAGAGGAGTGGTTGATATGCCAGAGGGTTGGGTTGCCATCCAGAGGAACCTAGACAGGTTGGAGAAATGAACCAACATGAACCTCATGTAGTTCAAAAGGGGAAGTGCAAAGTCCTGCCCCTGGGGAGGAACAATCCCATGCACCAATATATACTGAGACCCAACTGTCTGAAAAGCTGCTTTGCAGAGAAGGACCAAGGGGTCCTCGCGTACACCAAGTTGAACATGACCCAACAATTTTCCCTTGCTTCAAAGAAGGCAAATGGCATCCTGGGCTGCATTAGACAAAGTATTGCCAGCAGGTTGAGGGAGGTGATCTTTCCCCTCTATTCAGCACTAGTAAGGCCACACCTGGAATACTGTGTCCAACTCTGGGCTCCCCTGTAAAAGAGACATATGGAAAAACTGGTGAGATACAAATGAAAGGCCATGAAGATGATGAAGGGACTGAAGCATCTCTATGAGGAAAGGCTGAGAGAGTTGACACTGTTTAACCTAGAAGAGACAAGGCTCAGGAGGGATCTTATTGATGTATATAAATACCTGAAGGGTCGGTACAAAGAGAATGGAGCCAGGTTCTTTTCAGTGTTGCCCAGTGACAGGACCAGAGGCAATGGGCATACATTGAAACATAGGATGTTCCATCCGCACATCAGGAAACACTTTTTTTACTGAGAAGGTGACTGAGCACTGGGACAGGTTGCCCAGAGAGGTTGTGGAGTCTCCTTCCTTGGAGATATTCAAAAACCATCTAGACATGGTCCTGGGCAACCAGCTCTAGGTGTCTCTGGTTGAGTAGGGTAGTGGACTAGAAGACCTGCAGAGGTCCCTTCCAACCTCAACCGTTCTGTGATTTTGTCATAGGGCAGTGAGTGAGAGAGTCTGGGTGGATATTTGGCTGCTGACTAGGGTCAACCCACAGTACTTTTTGGTGCTCAGTGTGGGGCACAAGAAAATGATAGTTTTGATGTGAGTATGCTATAGCTATTGTAGTTGTGTCATGGTTTAACCCCAATCAGCAACTAAGTACAATGCAGCTGCTTACTTATTCCCCCCACTACTCCAGGGGAGGGGAATCAGAAAAAAAAAGTAAATCTAAACCTCGTGGGTTGAAATAAGAATAGTGTAATGATTTAAATAAAGAAAAATATACTAATAACACTAAAAATACTACTACTAATAACAATAATACTAGTAATGAAAAGGAGAGAGAGAGAAATAAAGTCCAAGAAAAACAAGTGATGCACAATACAACTACTCACCTCCCACTGACCAATGACTAACCAGTCCCTGAACAGTGATTGGCAGCTCTTGGCAAACTTCCCCCAGTTAATATACTAAACATGATGTTCTATGCTATGGAATATCCCTATTGCCAGTTTGAGTCAGCTGTCCTGGCTGTGCTCCCCCTCAGTTTTTTTGTGCACCTGTTCACTGGAAGAAAAGTCCTTGATTTAGAGTAAGCACTACTTAGCAACAACAAACATCAATGTGTTATCAGCATTATTCTCATACTGAATCCAAAACACAGCACTGTACTAGCTACTAAGAAGAAGATGAACTCTATTCAGCCAAAAGTAGCTGTATCAGGGATTGTTGATATTTTTTGGTCTGTGTTTGGCCCAACCACCTGTGAAAGTTTTGTTCTTTGCCTGTGCCCCAGCTGAAATGAGACACAGGTCTTTTGCTGAGGATGAGTTATGAGAAAAGACCCAAACTCCTCCCTCTAAGCAATTATAAATCTGAAATCAAGAGGTTCCGATTGAAGGAAAACAAATTATGGAAAAGGAAAAATAACAACCCTTTATTAAAAGGTATGTGTGTATTAGCAGAAACAACAAAAAGAAACAAGTAAAACATCCAAACAATACTCTTATACCCACAGATAATCCCCTTCAAAAACAAACCAATGAACAAGTAAAGGGAAAAAAAAGTAAACAGTTCAGTTTGCATTCTTTGGTGCAATTCCAACCACAGTCAACAGGGGGCGCCATTGGGTCACTGGAGATGCAGAGCTTGTAGTGTCCTGTGCCACTGGGGTATGACGGAGCAACCAAACCAACAAAAAAAACTGGGCCTCCCTTCCTTTCCCACACACTGGGAAAGGGGAGAGGGAGAGGGGGAAGGGAAACAACAACAAAAAAGAAAATCCTCCCAATGAAAAAGACAACCCTAACTCACTCCATTTGACTGGTCAAACTGCTCGGGACTGTCCTCTCTCTCCCCCTGATGTGCGCAAGGACAACTACCAGGAAAAAAATACCAAACAGGAACAGGGAAAGGGGAAAACCCCCAGAAAAAAACCAACTCCTCTCTGATGAAGAATCCAGGCAGGACCCCCAGCTGTCAAACAGGTCAAGAACAACAGAAAACCACTCAGCTTCCACTCTGACCTGTGCTCCAGCCACAGTCAGCCCACAAACTCTTCCCCCCCATTTCCCAGGAGATGAGAGAAAAAGTAAACAGGAACCCCTCATCTCCCCCGTTTCCTAGGAGATTAAGTTCTGGGTCATTAAGCAGAGGACCAGTTCTTTTGTATCTCTTAAGTGCTCACTTGATAGCTCTGCATGCAGTGGGCAGGGGGAAGGGAAAAATTCCTACTTAGTTTCCAAGAACCAGCTAAACCATAACAACTGACCAAGTTCACTGATAAATGGGAGCTTTGTCCTTGGAGAGACAGTTTCTTGTATAAACTGTTTTAATTGGTGTTCTGTGATTGGTTTGTTGTCTGTAGAGGACATTTGAAGGAGAAACTGAAGAGGAGAAGATGAAGTAAAGCCCTCAGACCCAAATAGATAAGACCCATTGAGTTAAACAGTGCATGCGTTAGGGGAATTCCAAAGTATTCATGGGTGCACTGAAAGGGTACACTTATATAACCAAGGGGGTAGACTGAGAACCTCTCTCTGGGCAGTACTGGCCACACCTACCTGGACAGATGCAACAGTATA